AACAAGAAAGTGCCCCCCAATTGGTTACGTGATATGCGAACGACTCGTAGTTTACAAAAATGTGTTTACGTTTGCGTAACAGTAATGCAAATAAAACTCATTTCAAACTCGTTTTAAAGCAATGTTTTAATGAATTTGTGTTTCGTTTACAGTTTAAACACAACTCAATGTCTCTCTTATGAACCGAATTATGTATTAAATAATATGAATTGAATTATCATTTGATTGAAATAGTGATCAGTTGTGCGACACGTGGTTTGAGATGTCATTCCTGCGAATCGCCAAATATGTGGCACTCGTGGGCGTCGGCGGCACTTCTGTCCACGTTTTGCATCAAAACCATTGGTTAGTCAATGAATGAATGATAGAGTAATAGCCATAAGGGATGACATGATTGAAATGACTGTCTGAACGATAGGGACGTGCGAAACGTGGGAGCCGTGCGTTTTGGTCGGGCGGCCGTCACTGTGGGTCGCATTGCCATTGACTACAAGTGGTCGGTCTCTGCGCTGAAGGACACGTCACCCGAAACGTTGAACGAGTGGTCGGCAGTACATCAACGCTCAGCCGATCGTTTGCTAGACCTGTGCTGTACTAACGGCGGGGTATTTATCAAAGTTGGTCAACACATCGCCGCTCTTGAATATCTGGTGCCTCTCGAGTACATCAATACTCTTAAAGTGCTTCACAGCAGAGCTCCGCGATCTTCACTCAAAGACATTAAACGAGTAATTGATTTGTTTATTAATTACTTTATTTGATAAATGTTGATAAAAATACATTGAAGTGATTAATCATTTGACACATAACTAACTGAATGCTTGATATAATGATAGGTGATTAAAGAGGACACCGGGAGTACAACCGAGCAATTATTCAATGAATTCCAATCGGAGCCAATAGGGGCCGCATCTCTGGCTCAGGTGCATAAGGCACGGCTTAAAGACGGTCGACTCGTAGCGGTGAAAGTACAGCACCCGCACGTGAAACGACACAGTTATATAGATATGAAAACTATGGATGTTTTGGTTCAATTAGTGGGCACAATATTTCCCGAATTCTCCTTCTTATGGTTAGCTGAAGAGACCAAACGTAACCTTCCATTAGAACTAGACTTCATTAATGAGGGCCGAAATGCTGAACGACTCGCCCGTACTTTTGCAAACTTCTTGTGGCTTAAGATTCCATCGATTGAGTGGAGCCTTTCGTCGGAACGTCTCTTAGTTATGGAATACGTGGACGGATGTCAAGTGACGGACAAGAAGTATATGATTAACAATCAAATCAGTTGTAGAGAAGTGTCGCACCGCTTGGGACTGATGTACAGTCAGATGATCTTCATTGAGGGCAATGTGCACTGCGATCCACATCCTGGAAATATTCTCGTTAGCAAATGCTCTGATGGCAGTCCACAGATCATTCTTCTCGATCATGGATTATATACTGTATGCTATTTTACACCATTTTTATCTAAACTATAGTTATATACAGTAAACGAATTGTCTTTTCTTGCATTTATATTATAATTGAGACATAATTGTAATTAAACTATTATAAGTAATTAATGATAAGCTAATGAATGAAATGTTTGCATTTGTTGCAGCAATTGACCGAAAAGTTTAGACACGAATATTCTCGTATGTGGTTAGCCGTCATCAACGCAGACGTCTCTCAAATGAAGGTATGGAGCAAAGCATTAGGCGTTGGAGATCTCTATCCATTGTTGGCATGTATTATGACAGCCAAGCCGTGGAACGCCATTCAGAGAGGACTCGACAAAGCAGTCGATAAGGAAACTCGAAAGAAAGAGGTATTTAATAAATTAGACTAATTGTCTGTTTGGTTATAATGTAAATTTTCTGTCAATTGTATAGTCGGGAGAACTGAGACAATATGCGTCCCAATACTTGACGCAAATATCGGAAGTATTGGCTAAAGTGGACCGACAAATGTTACTCGTGTTTAAAACCAACGACTTATTGCGGTCTATAGACCACGTGTTGGGAACGGCGGGTGAGCGCCGGTCTCTGATAACAATGTCGCGCTCATGCATTCGCGCCGTTCATTCAGAACAACTCCGACACTCAAACCATTGGTGGCAAACATTTGGTATTCATATTAGCCGTCATTGGATTGAAACTAAATTAACCCTATATTCTCTATATTTATGGCTCTCTGTACTCTTTTGGGGATCCGATTATTTATAGTCTAGTTTTTATAATCATTAATATCTCAAGTGTTGGCCAAATTGAAAATAGTACTGCAACGAGACTGCAACGAGACATTAATGTATTGTAACTGTTGAACATTACGGCTTGTTTTGTACCGTATATTTGCAGTTTAGAGGGCAGTATATGATCGCTACATTGAATTGAATGGTTCGAGCGGTGATTTGGTTAAGCAAATTGAGATCAAACTTTACCTTAGATTCAAAGCATTTAGTGTTTTGACCACTTGTATAAATAAGTTGATTTTTTGTGTATTTTTGTGCCAATTTAATAAACATTTAATCTCAAGCGTCAAATGTGTAGGCATTATAGTGTATAACAATTTTGTTACACCATTTAAATGGTATATTTAATTGTTTGTTACGAGAGTTTATTGATATTTTAATATACAATATGTAAAAAGGTTTTGGATTTCAATGATCTTACATTTAATTACAATGTAATGGTATCTCAATTGTTAAATATATTTATAAATTTATTAAAATAAAATATTTTTAATACAGTATTATTTAGTATTTTCTAAATAGTTATATGATTTAAAATACTTTGAAGTAGAAAATAATTTGATTAAAATATAATGTCAATTAAAGTACTATTTCACAAATGATTGCAATAATATTTGTTAATTTCGTCACAACTTATTGCCATTACTTGTGATGAAAGACATTATTTACTGCTAATAGCCTTAACTCAAACACAGATAAACATAATGAGCATTAAGTGAATGCCAAACATTTGGCCCTTTTATACATAAGACATACATTGTATGTAAAATGCATACAATATTCGCATATTTGGTTACTAAAAGGCACTGAAATGCAGTGAATGTATGAGTGGTTTGTTTAATAATGGGATTGAAATTTAATGCTCTTTTGATAAGACATTTAATAAGAAAAAAGAAAACAAAAGTTTGATTTGTGTCTCAATTGGTGTGCATTTGCTATCAATTTCTCGATATTTAATGATTGAATCAATTGATTGACAACGAGATGAGTGTCGCGACCACTACTTCAACCATAACCTCATCACAAGAGACTAACTTCTCTTCACAGGCCAGCGATGACTGCTATCAGATCTCATCCCAAGAGATCAATACATTGAATGGCATTCAGTCACAAGAGGCCAGTAATGCCTCCGAATTCATATTGAATCTGACTTCCAGTCAAATCACTTCCATCGACACCAACCATACCATCAACAGTACCGGTGATGACCATCACATCCATCACACCCTTCACACCGACCCTCAAAAACCATTGTTTACTGATATTAAGCCCAAACGTAAGTACAGTATAAACATGTCATTCAAAACTGATTATTTGTGTAATCAATGAATGGTTTGTGAGAGCAATGGCAGCACTAATAGCACTCATTGATGACTACTTTACTATTGATTGATTAGTCACTGATTGTATGAAGAGGTGTACGGATGGCGTCAACGACAGCATCAATGGCTGTGATGTGAAAGTAATGGCATTTGAAGTGGAGAAACGAAAGAGAGGACGAAAACGAAAGATACGAACCGCAGAGGAGTTGGAACTCCATCTCAAGGACAAGAAGGAGAAGAATAGATTAGCCGCTCAGAGACTGAGACAAAGGAAGTGTTCGGAAGGGCATCGCTATGACAAAGAAGTCGAAGAATATGAAAAGAAGATCAAAATCAGGAGAAATTTTGTCCAACATTTGGAGTCATCTGTTCAACAGCTAAGGGATCGCATCACAGCTATGGCTAAGAAGAATCATATTCAGAACCAAACTATTTGTGCCAATAATAATCAAAATAGTGTCAAACTGTCACTCAATTGAATGGAATTTGGAAAACCATTGTCTTTGCAAACAATCATTTGTGTTATAAAACAAATCTAATTTTGATTAATAAATTATTATATATTTTATAAATATGAAGCACTCCATTATTTATTGGTTTTGCATTTTTATATCAAATTCTATTACAATTGCATTTAAGTCTATGGATGGACTCGTTTGATAAATTACATATACTTCATATAAGTTATGTAATAATAAAGAAATATATTTTGTTTCTAAAATATGTGATACATTTGTCTGAATTCAAGCATTATTTCGACACATGTTTAATAAATTGCTTATAATTTTCTTGGCGTTAATTTATAAATAACTTTTATGAAAGGATGAAAATGTGATACAAAACAACCACAAAGTGCTACAAAAAGAGCTTTTAAAGAGGTACAGCTGTACCGTACAGTACCTCAAACTTATAAAGGTTTGATTTCAATTTAAAATATATAAATATGAATCATATTTGGAATCAAGTTAGATATTCATTTTAAATATTTAGTGTTAAAAATGCAATTTATTTTCTCAAATATACAGTACCTCAAACTTATAAAGGTTTGATTTCAATTTAAAATATATAAATATGAATCATATTTGGAATCAAGTTAGATATTCATTTTAAATATTTAGTGTTAAAAATGCAATTTATTTTCTCAAATAAATAGAAATAACAAAAATATCATATATTAATAATATTTATAATATAATATCATTTTTAACCAGGGTAGGAATTACGAGGGAGGATGATGTAGAGTCCTCACTAGGTGGTGGTACAAAATTTAAAGTGAACAGATTTTAAAATATGATTTCACAGTGCTGTGTTTCAAATAAATATTAAATTTGAAAATTTAATTGTTTTTCATATAATAGTTTAGAATAGTTAAGAATAGCGACATCTCAGATTATATGATAAAACATTTACAAAATCAATAAAAATACTTTAAAAAATCAATTATTTATATAATGCTTAAAATAATGTATTTATTTCAATTTGG